TTGCTACTGTGTGTGTGTGTGTGTGTGTGTGTGTGTGTGTGTGTGTGTGTGTGTGTGTGTGTGTGTGTGTGTGTGTGTGTGTGTGTGTGTGTGTGTGTGGGGACCAGCCCCAAGGTTTATGATTTAACTCATTACAGTGTTTCAATCCGCCTAATAAACTAGAATTTTAAGGATCCCGGTTGGACATTTGTAGCCAACAGTCTGACCCAGGAAACAGCAATTCTTACGTTCTTCCCATCTTTGATGCAGTAATACACAACTGGCTAGGCACATTATGGGAAGCTTTCACTTTCCTCTGAAGAAGGTAGTATTAGGAACTTCTGCATGAAGAATGCTGAAATAGATGCATCTTTGGTTAATTCCTTTAAGACTCCAAGATTAACTAAATCTAGTAGATGGTCAGCCAAAAAATACTGGATCTATAGAGGCATCAAAGAGTTCACACACATTGTTGAGACAGGAAAAGCCATTTGATCTCAGAGTATAATTTGCTATCTTTCATTCTTATTGGGTAAAATACATTAAAACTAAAACTATTCCTTCACTCCTGGCTGCTTCAGGCTTGTTACAATTTCTTGCCATTCTTCACGAAAACTGCTAAAGCAAAGGGAAGCCTGACAGAGGCCCTGTGATAACTTCCTTGTTTCTCTCCTTTCTTGCAGATTCTTTACACTGCCTATCAGATGTTATTGTGCCTCATGTTGCATTTTAGGGATGGCCAAGAACAAGATTCCACTCCACAAAAAACGGAGGATTTACAATCTGTTTCTGTTCCACCCTGACAACAAAAGTTTTGTTAATACTGGTACATTTCTGGGAAAAGTGTCCATTTCTTTGAATCAACACTTTCCGAACAAAGTACTCCAAAAAATCCAAATCAATTCAAGTCTTCATCCTTTTTTTCCGGAAACACTTATTCCTTTTATGTTTTCCCATGGTACTATAAAGGGACATTTACTTGAGGTTGGACATTGGAGCATTTAATATTGAAAATGCATTAAAAAATTAAAATGCTAACCTAAGAACAAAAATGTGAACCACCTATTTATCTGGGTTTGAAAATAGGTACGTTGCATTAATTGTATCCATCTTAATACAAAGCAAAAATACAACCATATCTACGTAATATTTAATACAACATTGGCAGTTCAACAACTAAAAAATGCCAATGTTATTCCTAAAACGCAATCATGGGCCTTTCAGAAATGTAAAGAATGGTCTTCCCTGAAAATTCAGAAGAAATTTCATTTTTAAAAATGAATGCATTTTTTATTAAAGAAAAAATTATAATTTTGGCATGACTGCCATCAATTCAGAAAAATATTATAGCAACACTATTTAATCAAAAACTATAGGATTATGCAGAATAGCCAAGCATCCCTGAGAAAACCTTTCAGTGTAAAAAAATAATAAGTAGTTTTACAGTCCTGAATTATAAAACCTGTTTATTTATTCTGACATTAGTGAAGTGCAAGGAGTACATGAGGACACCTATCCTGTTTCAAATTGTTCTTCAATGGGAGGAATATGACATGGATTTTCCTTCAATAGAAGTAGAAGAAGAATCATTGTTTATGAAAGGAAAAAGGAAACCTCTATTAGAATAGAGAGTTGAGATTTGTTTTTCAGTTCAAACACATACCTCTTCCAGAAGGTTTTATTAACCTTTTCTGAAAAAGGCTATGCAGAAGGGTCTGAATATACAAACTTTAATACCAACCATATTCCAAAATACCTTTTAGAGTGAAATAGTACAGTTACAAAAAGAGAAATAACAGCAAGAAAAACTGAAGTTAAAGAGATGCAGATATAGGGGAAAAAAGATCATTAAAATGGAGGCAAAAAGCACATACTGCCATTCAGAACGCTCTCAAAGAGGAGGACTGGAGCGAGACAAAAAGGCTAACACTGGACAATGAGAGGAAAAGGCAAAGGAATAAGAGGAAGAAACATGCAAGGATACAGATTGACCCCAGCGTACATCAAGAAACCACTTTTAAAATACAAAGGGCATGTTTCCCTTTGCTGCCTCTGCCTTCTTTGAATCACAAACATAAGCTCTTTATCAAGGTCCTTTTAGGATATATCCTCATCCTAATTTTCACCTTCTGTTCAATTTCAAAATGTCAACTCCTGATACCAATCGACTCACAATGCCAGCTTCTATCATCCACTTATACATTAAAAACAAGAATGAAGAAGTTCTCTCTACTGCTGCCCATTAAGCATGGGAAGTACTTCCATAAATATGCACAAAACCACCTATCCCTCCCCCATCACATTCCTTTTGAACAATTTCACCTGCAGGAAACCTAACAATGATTAGGCCACTTGGGTACCAAGCCTACTGCCCAGAAGGTTAATCAGTGTTGTTTCCAAGTTAGTCTATACTATATACTGCATGTCATGTAGCAACACCTCAGCTAGGTCAGGTACTAGAATCAAATGTAGCTGGGGTAGTACAAAAGAATTACAGCAAAATAAAATGTGCATTGTTCCACAAGTAACTATGGACCTGAAACTCAGAAGAACACTGATGAAAAGAAGGATCTGATGGTCCTCCAAAGCTGTACCTTTTCCAACACAACAAATTAGCCCGGGCATAGCACAGTGCTGTTGCAGCTAGATTGCTTCTAGTACCCAAGCCAATTCTCCACATTATACTGAAGCGCAGACATGCTCTCCATCTCTTTGTATACCCCCTGCTGTTCTATCTGTATCCATCTGTCCTCCTCTTTCACCCTATACAATAGCGTTAATAATCCAGGATAAATAATGTCATTCTGGATAATCAAACACCACAGTAGAGAAGAGCACTAAAAACTATACCCAACTGCTATACAGGAAATATTTTTTAAAAGAACATGAAATAAATATATGGTTCTATGTACTGCAGTAAGTTTACATAATGAAAATTACTGTATAGTAACTCATGCTAAGAAGTGCAAGACCAAGATTACTGGCTACAACCGAATGGAGTCAAGGTGAAGTCCATGTACATCGCCAGACATGTAACTTTCATTACACTGGTGGAACCAATATAACCACATTTTTTGGTTAATATAAAAACCTTGCAGGTAATCGATTACCAAATAATCAACTTCTGTACTTCGGTGTCAGCTCTTTGGGGAATGCCCTTCTGTTCTCTGTTTCCACAGCACTTAGAACAATGAGATGCTGATTCATAATTAAGGGCCCCAGGAGTTATGACAGGTCTATTATTAAGATACTGATTTCTTCTGTAGTATTTATAATCTTTTAATACTAATTTTGGTGGACCTTGAAGTTAACAGAAAGCTGCCAGAGTTGTATGAAGACAAAACAAGGAGCAACGGTCTGAAGTTGCAGGAAGGGAAGTTTATGTTAGATATTAGGAAAAAACTCTCATCAAGAAGGTAGTAAAATACTGGAACAGGTTACCCAGAGAGGTTGTGGAATCTCCATCCTTAGAGGGTTTTAAGACCTAGCTAGACAAAGCCTTGGCTGGGATGCTACAGTTGGGGATGGTCCTGCTCTGAGCAGGGGGTTGGACTAGATGGCCTCATCAAGTCCTTTCCAACCTTAATTTTCTATAATTCTAAGACAGGGTTGACAAGAAATGTAGCAATATTCTATACATGCTAGCATCTAGAAAGCTGAGATAAATGTACAAATAAAGAATTCAGAATAAAACTGAGTTAAACCAAAGATTTATTGACAAATCAATGTAAGTGGCAACACTTAAGTTTCAAGACAGAAGGAGTGAAGTCTATAGCCAATGTAAGCCTACAGGTAGTCACAGCAGAAAAAAAACAATAAAAAACTTCACAAGGAATATTTATACACTTACCTGTAAACCATTTCATTAGGAGCTGTGTCATCAAAGGCATAGTCAAAGCGAAATGTTTGGTTTTCTAGGTACCTTGTTAAATCCACCTTTTGTTTCGGTTCATGTACCATCACAACATCTTTACTAGGAATTGTTATTACATCAAGGTCTTTCATTACTGTTTCTGTTAAGTAAATGAAATAGATATAACTATCAGTGCATATTAACTTTTACACCATTTGGTCATTTACATTCTCAAACTGCCCAAGGTACCAAAACTTTTCCAAGTAACATGAATCTAGGCTCCTGAGGCCTATATTATGATTTGTTAGTGCATAATTCCACCTCAAATCCTACAGATTGTACAAATTACTCAAGACAACAGTTTCTGTTCCCCTTTCTAGTACCACTTAAAAGAATGAAGGTTTCATAATTCACAGTTTCCTGTTTATATCCTATAATGGTTTTTCTAAAATGATGGAGTTAATATAGATTATATTTTATCATATACTCAAAGATTATGACACTGTGTTTTATCTTTTTCTTTTAGATAGAAGTCTGTTTGATACATAATCTTTTCAGTTAGACAACTACAATATAATATTTGACTTGTCATTCAAAGTTATAAACAACTTAAAATTACCTAAAAAGAATTCAAACCACCAGTGCTTAAGTCTTTAATACTACATCAGTATTACATGAATATTTTTCAAAAAACAGAAATCTAATATTCACACCCTATGCACTATATAGTCTCATTTAGACTCAGTCTAGGAGCCAAATTCTAAGTCAGGAAAACACAAAAGATCCTTAAAATGTTATTCCTCTAAAATGAACTCCCTTTCTAAAATTATTTTATGTAAAGAAAAGGGTACAGAACTCAAAGGATGTTGGTTATCTCTTCAAATTAATCATTTATGCCTGGATTTGATTTCTTTATGGATTTCACAGGTAATATTTACTACACATCTTTGCAGTTTCTTGTTAATTGTACGAGATAGGAATCAGCAAAACATGCATGTAGAACCCAAAGATCTAAAAAATGAACAAAAATAAAGATATTTTATATGTATAGTCAAGTGCATTAATTGTTGCTTACTTGCTTTTCTACATAAAAATATAGAAGGTACACAATTTAAGAATCAGATTTATTTTTAATATAAGACGATGACAAACTTTACATTCAGTACTTATGACTTGATCTTTGGCAATCAGTTTCTAATGGCACAGGTATGAAGCAGCAACACAAATCCACATTCCTGTGCAATTACCTGGTTTCCAACTACATTACTACAAAATATGTTGTGCAGTAATTGTGGAACCAAACCATAAGTTTACTTCTAAACAGTCTACACCAGCGGTGCCCAACCTTTTGGCCGTATAGGCTGTTTTTAATTATGTTGGAGGCACTACAACAATCATACACTCTGAAGGAGATCCAGCAGGACTGTTCTGCTAGTTACACTAGCAATCCTAAACAGTAAAAGCTTTCTTCTGCTGGTATCTACAGGAGGAATTTTGCCAGCAAAGCTATATTAATTATCGCGCAGGATCTTTTCATATCCCTACCTGGCAAAAACATGCCCACAGAACTTTACAACAGAGGCAAGGCTCAAGTTACCCAAAAACTGTTTGCTTCTAAAACAATTATCCAAGGGTATCTTAAGTTCTTTTATGATAGTTGTAAATATATAAACATCACTCAAACTTTCAAATTACCCACAAGTCTAAACATTTTAGGGCTCAGTTATCAGACAATGCCGAGTTATTGGGACACCCACAAAGTTTCATAAGAATACAATTTAAGTCTTACACAGGCAAAGTTTTACAGTGGTTTAAAGCAGATGACCAATACAGCTCATAAGGCATGCATGCGGAAAAATGTGCACGTGTGGAGTAAGTAACCTTTACAGTCTTGAATGCAAAAATTATTCCTTTGTTAATTCACAACAGATTTCTCTTTTCCCCTTCAAGGCAGCACACACTAATACCTTCAGGTCTATTTATTCTCTGACTAAAGATTAGGGCAGCTGAAGTCTCATTCCTTTTAAACCTCCAAAATAAAGCAGGCATGTTTTCAGCTGTTATGAAAAGCGCACATTTTGCTATTTCCATAATATCATTTATTGTATGAATTGCTCTTTAGTCCTTTACCAGATGCAAAAAATTAGCAGCCATTCTCATTTGCAATGAAATTACTTTTAACTTGATAGCAACCACTGAACCAGAAGGTAGTTGCAACTTGAACCAAGTGATTCTGTTCTGAACCCTAAGTCATATCTCATGATAGCTTGCTACCATGTGCTATTACTTTTTTTTCCTCCAACTAAGTTCCAGCATAGTAAGTTATTACCTGTAACCCTCTCTCCAAATACATTCTCCACAAATGCACTGGATTTCTAGATCATACTCTATTAAAAATGTACAGAATGCTTAAATGGAAAACTGAACTGCTACCAAATATATGTGCTGAATGCCCCTAACAAACAGGCTGTGGGAGGCAGCTTTAAAATTAACCACATTTTAGATGGTTTTATTGATCTGAAAACAGAGAGCAGAGAGCAAAAAAAACCCTTAAAAAAATCACAGGAAATAAGAGGAAAAAAGTAATAAAGAAGAAACAGAAAAGGCCATGGAAGAAGAGCTTTCACTATCTAGACATATTTATTTTTTCTTCTCTGAAATTCTTTTCTTCGTCCTTGAAACTTTCCAGAATGTGTAATTCTGTGACAATATTAGAATGTTAGAATGATACATTGCAATCTGTGGTATTTGAGTTCAGAAAATTATGTTCTTTGAGATCTTCAGCCAACCCAGATACGACATAAGGGTTTAACAGAGGGAAAATGCTTTTCCAAATATAAATTAACATTTCAATTAGGGCTCAATAGTTGGGAACAAAGAGCTGGCTATTATATGAACATATTCCTCCACCTAATATAGAAGATATTTATTAGAATATGGCTCTCTCCTTCCACTGTACAACTGGGGACCTATTTTGACACACCTAGTCTTTCACACCTCATGCACAACTCTCCTCATTTGATATCCCATACAATATCACTGTCAACTCTAAAAAAACAAACAAAAAAGCAAACAAACAAACACACACAAAAAAACTTTTTCTTCAACTTGGGTCACAACAACATTTATAACTCAGGATATTACTATACCCACCACACATTAAAAAAAATAAATAAGAGACATCCTATGCACATATACTCATATCTGTTATGCATACATCCTAGCCATTTAAACTTCAGATTATAAATTTTCCATGTTCACCATTATAAGAATGGATATTCTGAGTTAAAACTTTAACAATAACTTAAATTAACAGATTACAGATCACCTCAAGAAAATTTGAGATGAATTAGAGGACAAGCATAATCTTGTGGTTAAAGCAATGAAGTGATAGTCAAGATAATAAAAGTGCACTGCCCAGCTCAACTCAAAACTCCCCACATTACCTTGGGAAAAAAAATCACTCACTCTCTCTCAGTCCCTGTCTCTAAAATGGTGGCAACTGTACTTCATTTCTTTTACCCTTTACCCATATTGTCTATTTAAATTACAAGTTCTTGGAACAGTGGTTCTCAATCTTTGTGTACTCAAGACACCATTCACTGGATTTGAGGTACCTCTCCATAACTTTTCTGAATTGTGTGGCACCCAATTTCAGAATGTAATTTATGTATTATAGTGCTTACTTTCTTGCAGAGGCCAGACAGTAGGAGTTGGAGATCAGCCAGGCAGGGATAAGCCTGAGCCTGCATTTATCTCCTCATACCTCTCTTCTCTCTCTCCATACTTTCCAGCACCCTTTAAAGGATCTGGCAACACGCCAGGGTGCCACAGTGATTTTTAACCACAGTGCTATCTTAGAGACAAGGACACAAGCTCTTGGTACATGTATGTACAGTGTCCAATACGGGGGTGGGCAAAATACAGCCCACAGGCCAGATCTGGCCCACAGCTGCCCGTGCAGCGCTCCACGTGGGGCCATGCTCTGTGTTGGGCTCCCACTGACACCCACTGGCTCAGGCCCTGACCAATATGCAGCTTCTACCAGGTCTGTTCCCAGTGCAGCTGCAGCTGGGTGCTGCTCTGTGCCCCTTCCCCCCACCTCCAGCAGCAGCTCCTACTTTTGATCTTGCCCCTGATGTGTCACGCCGTGCCCACTGTGCGAGCAGTTTCAGCCAGGTGGCTCCTACCCCAGCATGCAAGGCTCTGGCTTCAGCTCCCAGCTATCTTCCACTGAATCTGGATCTGAAGCCCTGTGCGCCTGCCAGAAGCAGCACAGCGCAGTGCAGCAGGAGCAAGAGGAGGAACTGCTGCTGGAGGCAGGGGGCATAGAACAGCACCTGACCTGCTGCAGCCATGCTGGAACAGCCCACCAGAAGCTGCTCCTGCTCCTGATGCACCATGCCATTCCAGGTGGGTGGGCGAGCTGGTGTCTCCTGCCCCAGCACCAGGGCTCCGGCTCAGCTGCCAGTTGCCCTCCCAGGAGCTGGAGCCACATGTGCTGGGGCAGAAGCAGAAGCAGCTTCCAACAGGCTGTTCCCACGGCAGCTGCAGCCAGTCGGGAGCTGTTCTGTGCCCCCGCCTCCAGCAGCTGCTTCTCTCGCTCCTGCTGCACTGCACTGCGCCACTCCTGTCATGTGTGAGGGGCTCCAGCTCCAGTTCTCACTCCTGGAGGCGGTGGGGCACCCTCCCGTACCAGAGGGAGTGTGGTGCATGCAGGCTGCCCGGGCACAAGTGGGAAGGGCTTGGCCCCACGTGAAGCGACGCACTCCTAGCCTCTCTCGCCCCTTCCTCTCTACTCCTGAATACTGCTCCCACCTGCCCACAGCCCCATAGGGAGTTTAGGTGAATTGTTGGGGGCAATGGGAGAAGCGCTGACCCAGCCCACAACAGCTGATCAAAACTCCCTATGCGGTCCTGGGCCCTGATAAATTGCCCACCCCAGTCTAATAGAATATGGCTACAATTTTAATGGTACTACAAGAACAATTAGAGATACCAAATCCTATCACCTCTAAGAACTGCTGTTTATGAAGAGAAATTCCTGCAAAAAAAAACAACCCCCCCACCCAAAAAAACAACAACAAAAACTGAACACATGAATGGCCATACCTTTTTTATTGAGTGGCCGTTTTCGTACACAAACGCATATTCTGTGTTCATCAATCTAAAAAAGAAAACACCTGGTTAAATACTCATTTCAATTGTGGTATTTTTTTATCCTCAAAAAGTTGATCAGTACAGCTATTACTTTGATTAATTACTGCCTTGTAAAAAATTTTCTTCCAATAAATAAATTCAGACGGTAGGGGTTTTGCATACACAATATCCAAAAAACCCTGTGACTCAACCCTATGTTCACTGTAACAAATGCTTAGGCTCTGATCTTGTAGACTGTCAACCACATCCCAGAGGGCACAGATTAACCTCTGCTTTTATTTTGGCAGATGCTCAAATGATATAAATTATCCATAGGAACTGAAACTCCTTGTTACCTTCCAAGGCTGGGACATAATCTTACTGACAGAAGTTCTAGCTGAGTGTGTAAATTAGGTGCCTATCCTACTTTGGATCCTTTAAAGAAAACCAAGCGTACAAGTGATAACAGACCAATTATAATACATGCCTGTAGAGTTCTAACATTGTAATCCTATAAAATTTAATTATTCCTTTCAATGCAAGTTACCTTCTACAAAAAACTGAACAATAAAACAAACAATAACTACATAATACAAAAGATTACTAGGCATGTGCTAAGCACCCACAACTAATAAATACAACAATGAATTTAAAAGATAAGCATAGATAGCACCAAATATAAGAAGTAAAAAAAAGCTGCAAATATATTTGTAATTTTATTAAACAATTCCTGAAATAAACTTACAGGATCTGCAGTTGTCAGTGGTCTATAATCCAAACTTCCCCTAAAATCTCTTATCATACACATAATTTCATAATTTGGATTTGAGGCATCAACATCCTATAAAAATGATGAAAAGCATTAGAAGATTCAGTTTTCCTTAACTCTGTAAATAGTTTCCAGAAAAGCTACAGAAAGAAGGCTGGAAGGATGCATTTACTGAAGTCTCCATATTTTTTACAAAATGATTTAGCCATATTTTGCATTAGTTAAACCACAGTGTTCACAGAATTTTTAATGTAGTTTAATGTTTTCTTTTTACTATACCATATGATTTATTTACTCAAGGAGCAAGTGGTATTTCCATAGGAAAAAGCAAAACAATCATTCTGTTTACTTTTAAAATTAATCTCTAAATTGGTAAGCAGTGGGAAATGTCCTTGATTAAGGTCTCAACATGAGATGAGACAAAATTAAATAGTAAATAACACATGATGTAATCTAAAAATTGTTAATTCCTACTTAAAATGGAAAACTTCTAGGTAGATCTATACAAAATGTATTACTGGCATGGTTTTCTCCCACCAATCAAAGAGATGCACAGTTCATTCCAGAAAAGTATTGTCCTAAATATTATTCTTAATATTTAACTCTTTAGTTTCAAGAGCTGAAGATTTTTTATTAGACTGTTATGCAATTACAATTACATTTTAAAACAAATACCATATTTTATAGCATACAACACATACTTCTCCAGCATAAGTGGGGAAGTTTGACTGCTTAAGATGGCTGCCAGTTCTACATGACCCTGCAAGCCCAACAGGCAATGTTAACCCTCTCAGACTAACCACTGTAGCTTGTGCCCAAATGACAAGTGAGCTGTTGCATGGAGTCACTAGAACAGGGGAAGCAAACTATGGCCTGCCAGGCAATTTCATCTAGCCTACAGGAGCCCACCAACTAATTGTACCCTGTCCAGCCCGTATGCCTCACTCCCACCCCTCCTGGCCTAGCAGCTTCCAGGTGGGGCTGTTGCTGCCACTGCTGCAGCCGCCACCTGCTTGGCTTCCCCGGTGTCCTCCTCACTCTGGGCACCAGGTAGGGAAGCACTGGGGTGGAGGTGAAGCTGCGGCTGGGCGGGGGCACAGAACATGAGGCTGGGAACAGCTCAGAGCCCACACCCAGGG